CAGTGTGACAGTACTTTTCTTTTCGGTTCTGTATAAGACTGTGTGTGTGTGTGTGTGTGTGTGTGTGTGTGTGTGTGTGTGTGCGTGCGTGCGTGCGTGCGTGCGTGCGTGCGTGCGTGTGTGCGTATGTGTTTGTGTGTGGGTGGGTGGGTGGATGGAAGGGGCTATGACTCAAAGAATGTTTATAAATCCGAGCAACATGAGTGGAGCGGATGATAGCGGGGCAACAGCTCGTGCTCGTAAAAACAACACGGATATACGGACAGACTGCTTATAGTACAACATATAGGGGTGTGCTCGCTTGCTACGTAATATATTCAGACCGAGATAACTAAAGGATAATTTTTCTCATATTCCGAGATTTGGATCAACGTCAGCAGATAATAAATTAACGGGCATATCCGTCTGAGCAGGAAAACCACCCCGCCGTAGATATTATTGCTAGGCCGGTCAAGTTAGACCAGTTGTGTGTGTCTTTCACACACGGGGACCACCAAATTGAAGACTCCGTGACACTTCGTTACTAAGCAGCGTTTTTAGAACTAAAACACACATATAGCGACACTGATTGGCTCCAGTTACCCGCCACTCGCCGAAAGTAGATCGGCCAATAGTATAGATACTATAGAGGTATCGATGTCCACTGTACTGTAGACAGTTGTGTTCGCCGTAAATAACACTGTATATAACAGGGCTGAGTTACCCGTGTATTTGTTTAGATCAAATTTTTAGTTATCTTCAGCAATGTGCCGAGCCACACTAAAGAAAAAAAATCATTTTGCTATCTGCGATCGCATCGCTAACTCACGAAGCGAAGGTTGGAGGATAAATAGAACCAAGAGCTAGAACTCGATCTACGCGAATTGAAATAGATCGTATACAATTACACCGGTGGCGTGAGATACGAATCACCTAGCAACCTAATTTTAACTTTGTCTATCATTTCCGTCTCTTGTAAACTACATGTTCATAGCTTTACCTCCTAAATGTTGATGAATCTATTGCGGATGATCGCATAATGTATTGGGCTGCGTTCTAATATTAATTATCAATCACTAATTAATTAGTGATCAATAAGACGTCATATAACTAGTCATCGTAGACGAATACACGCCGTGAGCAAAAACCGAATGCAGTCACACTGTAATTGTGACAGCCATCCCAGACCTAATTATGCGACGGCGACGATAAGTAAAGTGAAAGTTGAGTTTTGCTGAGTCTCGGGGAGTCCTCGAGTCACCGAGCGGTAGTCCCATTCTCAATATGTAACTTCGTGAAAAATTGGAAACAGGAATACAGGTAAACACTAAGAAAACGTAGTGCTTAAACTGCTTACGAAGTGCTGACAAGGAACTATACATGGTTTATCCGAGATTCTATATTCGGTTTGACCTTTACGGGGCGTTCATTGCACGTACGCGCACGTTACCGTAGCCCGTATGCCACACAACGGCAACATGGTATATGCAGCAGGAGAATTAACAGCGCTAAACCCGGTCTAGCAGAGATGCTGATTAAATTGCTCGCGTCACTCCTAAGTTACGCGCAGAATGATGCGTCGGTGGTACATGGAGGTACAGCGTGTTCGCGGTATGCGATCGTGACGAGGGGAAAAAATAGACACGGTGACACGATATGTCGTCGTACGTTTTCTAGCTACAGTAGCGGCACGCCCGCACCCCCATGCTGCTCCTCTTTGATTCTGGCTTATCTTGGTGATGCTGGCTTCTCCTGATGATGTTGGCTTATCTTGGTGATGCTGGCTTTTTCTCCACCTCCTCCATTTCCTCTTCGTCCGCTTCCTCTTTCTTCTCTTCCCCTCTTCGCCCCCCATTCTCCTTCGCTGCTTTTTTCTATTATTCATTCGACGTCTTCTTCTCATTCTCCTCCTACTATTTCTCTTCCTCCTCCTCCTCCTCCTCCTCCTCCTCCTCCTCTTCCTCCTCCTCCTCTCCTCCTCCTTTCGTACTACTACTATTCGTACTACACTTACTATACTACTACTACTAACTACATACTACTACTTACTACTATACTACTACTACTACTACTACTACTACTACTACTACTACTACTACTACTACTACTACTACGACTACTACTACTACTACTACTTAACTACTACTACTACTGCTACTACTACTACTACTAATAATAATATTACTACTTCGTTAATATTTTAATTTAACTAATCATAATTAAAAACATTCTTAGCATTTCTTGATAACGCTCGTCTGATTGTACTTTGGATGTCATTGCCGCTACTGTATGCAAATATGCAAGTATAACAGCTTAAAACGAAAAGGTTGAGTAGCATGTTTACTTCGCCATGTCTTAGCTGTCCAACTAAAACAAATACTGAATGTGGCGTTATTAATGAGTAAAACGCCTATTATAAATTAGTTAAAACGCTAGCGGTGGCCTCGCAGACTGGCTACTTGCCACTTCAAGCTGCGCGCCAAATCTATCGGAACTATACTTACTGATTACATCAACCAACATGAAATCGTGACCCGTAAATACTACTTTATGACTCGTCGCACCTAAATGTATCTTTAAGGAACATCGACTGGAAAAAACTCCATGTAAATTTTTAACGGGTTCACCGCGCGCGTTTTTTAACCATTGCGGAGTTGACATTCATCAAATCGTTGAGAGCTGCATGCGACGCTAGAAGACCACATACTAACGTACGAAGGGTCGTTGTTGTTATAATGGCGTATAATATGTACCGAGGTAACTATTTGATATGGTAAGGGTTAGGATTAGGGTGTTAGGGTTAGGGTTAGGGTTATAGGGCTAGGGTCAGGGGCGGCGCCTAGGGTATTTCTTAGGGGGGGGGCGGAACCAGAGACGTGTACAGGATCACGCGAAGGGGGGGGGGGGTGGGGCTCTCCCTCAGAAATTTTTTGAAATTAGACCCCTCAGAATGCGTTTTCTGCGCGAGCAGGGGGTCCGGACCCCCTGGACCCCCTGTACACGGCCCTGGAACTGTAGACTCTGATACCGTGTGCGCTTGCACTGACGGGTGGGGTCCAGGGGGCAGATTCTTTGTGATCAAGTGTGCCTACCTTTTCGCCGGGAAACAGCATCATCGACAAATGATGGTCCCAACTTGGGACTCCCAAGGAAATAACACCTTGACATCGATTATCAAATTAAGCACAGGTTTTATATGGATTGAATTTCGACACTTAATTTTTCGATTTTTCGATGAAAGTGGTCCAGCTTGTAGGCTACATCACCTCATTTTTGGGCGATCCCCCTATTATTTGCAAGAATCTTCTTCTTCTTTACCTTTTCTTGCAAATGATGGGGAGGGGGTGACCCCCCACCCCACTCATCATTTGCAAGACATTTGCAAGATGTTTCTTTTTCTTTTTCTTCTTCTTCTTCTTTTCCTTTTTTTTTTTTCTTTTTCTTTTTCTTTTTTCTTTTCTTTTTCTTTTTCTTCTTCTTCTTTCCTTTCTCTTGCAAATGATAGGGGGGCGACCGCCCCCCCCTGCCCCCCTGTGGCGCCGCCCCTGGTTAGGGTTAGAATTAGGGTTAGGGCTAGGGTTAAGGAGTAGGCGTAGGCGACAAACTCGCCGACACCTCGGGTACTACGATCGGGTACATATACGACAACGACTCCTTCAGTCATACTAACTGCCTCGCTGAATGCCACTATCGTGTGTCGCCTCAAGGAAGGTTACGATTACAATTACATAGTCATCAATTTAACAACAACAACGACGACGACGACAGCAACAATAACAACAACAACAACAACATCATCATCATCATCAACAACAACAACAACTTCATCATCATCAACAACAACATTATTATTACTACTACTACTACTACTACTACTACTACTACTACTACTACTACTACTACTACTACTACTACTACTACTACTACTACTACTACTACTACTACTACTACTACTACTTACTACTTACTTCCTCCTCCTACTACTACTACTAGTACACTACTACTACTACTACTACTACTACTACTGTTGCACTACTACTACTACTACTACTACTACTACTACTACTACTACTACTACTACTACTACTACTACTATACTACTACTACTACTCCTCCTCCTACTACTACTACTACTACTACTACTACTACTAACTACTACTACTACTACTCTACTACTCCTCCTCCTACTCACTACTACTACTACTACTATACTACTACTACTACTACTACTACTACTACTACTACTACTACTGTTGCTGCTACTACGGGGCGCCATGCAGGACAGGGCTCAATTTTGTCTAACAAAACTCAATTCTGTCTCACAAAACTCACTTTTGTCTCACAAAACTCACTTTTGTCTCACAAAACTCAATTTTGTCTCACAAAACTCACTTTTGTGCACACAACTCAATTCTGTCTCACAAAAGTCAATTTTGTGAACACAAAACCTCAATTCTGTCAATCCTGTCCCACAAAACTCGATTTTGTGAACACAAAACTCAATTCTGTCAATCCTGTCCCACAAAACTCAATTTTGTGAACACAAAACTCAATTCTGTCAATCCTGGGGCAACAAAATCGAGTTTTGTGGAACCGGTTCGACAGAATTGAGTTTTGTGTTTACAAAATTGAGTTTTGTGGAACCGGTTCGACAGAATTGAGTTTTGTGTTTACAAAATTGAGTTTTATGGTACAGGATTGACAGAATTGAGTTTTGTGTTCACAAAATTGAGTTTTGTGGGACAGGATTGACAGAATTGAGGTTTGTCGACCGGCGTTTCACAAAAACTCATTTTTGTCAAGTTTATAGGTACAAAAATGCCTGTCCTGCATGGCGCCCCGTAGCTGCTGCTGCTGCGACTGCTACTACTTCTCTGCCCTATTCACACTCGACACTGTACGTAACTTCTCAAGTAATAATATCTCGCTGTGTATTCGTGCATGTGGACAGCCAGGCGTAATTGCAGGACCTTACGCAGAGCGTGCCAGTACAAGCGAGGATATATATGACGATGTTGATGATGACGACGATGATGATGTTGATGATGATGACGATGCCGATGACGATGGCGATTGTTGATAACATTGGCGATTGTCGAGAATAATGACGATGAGCATCGAGACGATGGAGATTTTTGATACAGTCGCGATCGTTGGGGACAATGACGATTGTTGATACGATGACGATATCTGACACAATGACAATTTATGTGGTGCGTAGTGACAACGGTGTGTTTAATCTTGGCTTGGAGCTTGCGCGGGAAATTGAAACGGCGCAACACGTGCCATCATCGGAACTTCTAAAAATGGAGATGGCGTATTGGCAGCCGCAGATCTTTTTACCCGCCTTAAAATAGCATGTATCTGTTTACGGAGGCGGTGCGTCCATCTGGGAAGAAGAGGAGGAGGGGTAGCAGCAGCAGCAGTAGCAGCAAGAGCAGCTGCAGCAAAAGCATCATCATCATCAGCAGCAGCATCATTCTCGTCATCATCATCATTACCAGCATCATGATGATGATGATCATCATCATCACCAGCATCATGATCATCACCAACATCAGCAGCAGCAGCGGCAGCAGCGGCGGCGGCGGCGGCGGCGGCGGCGGCAGCAGTAGCAGTAGCAGCATCAGCAGACAGCAGAAGCAGCAGCAAGAGCATCATCATCATCATCATCATCATCATCATCATTATCATCATCATCACCAGAATTAAGAGCAGCAGCAGCAACAACAACAGAAGCAGCAGCAGCAGCAGCAGCAGCAGCAGCAGCAGCAGTAGAAGCAGCAGTAGAAGCAGCAGCAGCGGCAGCAGCGTTTGCCTGGATGTTAGTTAAAAGTAAAAGATTTGCGCTTCGGTTCCATTTGTAAACATTTAAACGGACTCGGCCGAGAGACTGATACTCGCAATATGCGCAGTGAAGGACGCTATAAACTAGGCTTCGTCAATAAACCACGGAGCACAAGCATCTAGATTAAGGGCCGAGCGAAAATGTATGGGCACAGACTCACAGTAGCAGACACGGACTAAATGTGAAACGTTAATCATTCTGCACTGTATATATATAGCTGTGCTACTGACTACCTTTCCTTCATATATTATATGCATGCGGGTATTTTTGCTCTGGATAGAGTGTTGTGCTTGTTTGAAATAAGTGTGTTTTTATGATGCACTGCGTGAAATGTGTCACTACAATGTTCTCACTAGAAAGGCAAACGTTCCTGTCAGATAATTAGAATTTTTTCTTTGAGGTTTTTTAAATAAATGGAGATGAACACAGCAATAATAAGAGAAAAGCAAATAACGGAGGATCTTTATGGAAATCATTTTATCAAAGCTTTCAGAAAATTTCATTGAATTATTCTATTGAGGAGTACTTCTATTGCATAGTGTATTTCTATGCGAGAGTAGAAAATTACATTGTTTCATGCTTCAAGACATACAGCTCTTGTCCCAACCGTACCTCCAGGGATATACGTTTATTCAAATTTTCATCAGAGATATATTTCTTTTTCAACCTCTCTCTTCACCTTTCTATGTAGCATGATTACACTTTAGGTGCCGGAGTACATACATATATTAAGTGCCGGAAGTAACTGCTCAACAATGCTACTGCTATTTTAACCTCTAGCTTAAGATTATCTATACATGAGATCTTCCAGACTTTCTGAATGCGTCATTATCGTGACACACAGACCTAGTATGTTACGCCCTTGCGATTAAAATATCGAAGATTGTTTACTGCTCTTTTGTCCGAACCTGGAACATAAGCACCACTGACACTGTTGCTGCCTCTAGGCTTGAAGTTTACTACGATTACCTGTTATGTTGGCGAAATTTCAGTCGTTGCCATGTTTTTTGCAATATTAAGGCAGCATCATAAACCCTTCTCTTGTCTCCACGCGTTTATGCTATCGGCAAGTAGGGGACGAGCGATTCAGTTGAATAAGCCTATCAAGTTATGTGCGGTTTCGCCATGAGCGCTTACTTGTATTTTACTGCGATTGATTAGAAATGGAGCTATGCGTTGAAAGCCACCATTGTTGTTCAGGTTATCTGACACGGTTTGCCTTTTTCACACAACACGGTAAAGTTATGAAGGAAATGTTATATGTTAAAACTGTCATGATCCTATATCATTAGTTAGAAAATTACTAGCTGTAAGGGTAAGAGAACTGAGAAAATTCCATAATCTGGTGATAATGTGTCTTAAGGGAGAAACACGTTCACAACGCACACGGATTTTACTGATAGATTATCGTATAGAATTTCCAGCAGTGAACAAAAATTCGCACAGATACTGGTATTAATTTGATAAACCATTATGTTTCTATTACTTATATACTAATCACTCCCGGGTCACACTCAAACAACAGTTTGTCAATAGTAGGAATACATCACCTCACACATCCCTTCATGACCAAAATGTTGGGTGGGAAGTTCTACTTCGTTGGTTACTTTTTTGGCTCTGCGCCTCAGGGATAATTCTTGCACGTGCGCCAGCAAAAAGAACGCGCACCCGCCTCGCGCCACTAGAAGACGTCTAGATGGCGTTCAACATGCACATCTAAATTACGCAAACAATTAAACCGCATAAATTGTGCCTAGCTGCAGACTAAACAGAATTTATTCAGCTATTACTCGCGAGCCCGTTTGACAAAAACATGCCTTTTCACCGCGTCTAGTATATGCTTGAAAATTCGCCCCAGATGCCCAACGCGCGTTCTTTGCCGGCTAGGTATACGAGAATACTAGGCCCGGCGAATGAATCACGAAGCGCGTACAGCTAGTCCGCAAATAAATCGGGAGAAGTTATTTTAGAGAGGCAAGAATAGCGAAGGGTCGAAGTGTCGCAATATGCTTCAGTATTGTTGCGACCTTCCCAGCGGTCGACTGCTATACTACCATCTGCATCGCACACATTTGCTCGGATGTTGACGTTTCATCTACATTCACACTCGTGATAGTTATGAGTAAACACCGATGATTGAAATCTGAGTTCGAATCTCGTAAATATTAGGCTTGAGAAATCTTGCCGCAGGGGTGCATGTCTGATATTAACAGGAGTCTATTAATATATATTGATAGACTCCTGATATTAATAGTGCACGCACAGCGCGGTGCGGTGAGTGGTGTTGTAAATGTCAATGATCCATTATTATAGTTGTAGTTAAACAGATTCCCAATTCGTAAAACATTTGACTAATCAAAGAGTATTTGAGGTAATACTAATTAATGACTAGACGTGAGGTCTACAGCGGAAGTAATTTATTTACTCTCAGAATCGAGTAGACCTCCCTAGCTTTAGTGCGATGTCGAAATACAACAGCAATTGCTTTCGTGTTTCGTTGACGTGGTTTTCGAAACCCCTTTTTTTCGCTTACTCGTTTTGTATTCGGATACTACTGTGTTATGTGGTTAGGAAAATGGGTGGCTGTGTTATACATCGCATATATAATTAATGTTGCCAACCGAATGCACAGTTCAGATATCCAGTACCAAGTAAATAATGCCCACGAATGTTCCTGATCATAGCCAGCATAGTTAATGGTTCAGTGTATGTTTTCACTCCCATCTTCGCAACACGTATACGTTGACAGTTTTTGACCCCTGCAGATATATCCGTGTATAGAGAAGCATACTTATTAAAGCCGCTCTATGCAAATGTCCAACATAAAAAAAGTCCAACATTTAACCCAGCCAGCCATATCGTCAGACAATAGAGGACGATTATTGCGATATAT